CATAAATAATGATCAAGATGTATTCATAAGGATCCGTACACGTCTTTGAAAATTTTCTTCGGTTTTGAAATGCTAAAATTGCGCGTTTATACTTCTCTCAAACATGTCACTTTTCTTTGGAGAATCCGCGGAAGTAGAGCTTTTGACGCGATTACAACACGCTACGCATTCTTGACTATATTGAAGTTTTCGATGCTCAATTAGTAGAGCAGCTTTTGAATTCCAGCTAGAAAGTACGCAAAACATTTGCTGGTAAGTTTTACACAGGTAATTTTGAGGATCGATACTGAAAATGATTAAACTTGGAACTTAACGTCGTCATAGATAATAGGTATTCTGTATTCCTAAAATAATATCTATCGATATTTTAGTAGATATCACATCAATTATCACGACGAGGTTCCAATCATCACAATCAGGGGCCCTTCTAAATATCAATAATAATAGTTTATTTATAGATTAATCTAATAATATCAGTACATTAAAAATAGTATAATTTATACATACAGATCAATCATTTGCAATACGCGATAAAGAAAAAAAAAAATATCAGTACATTAAAAATAGTATAATTATACATAAAGATGAGATCAATGAAGGAAAAAAAAAAGATTATCATTTTAGCATTTGCAATACGCGATGAAGGAAAAAAAAAGATTATCATTTGCAATACGATGCATCATCACCTTGATTTATATATAAAAGCAACACGTCTTGGTCTCGTAAGCACCAAAAAAAAATTTCACAAAAAAAAAATTTAACAAAAATATTCTCTCAAAATGTACATTCCTAACTTCACTAAAAAATACAAACATATTCCTTGTCATTTACTGACAACTCTAAAATTAACGTCCAATCTTTTTGGAAAAGAAGCCGGCCTCGTAAATTCGCGAAAAGAAAACGAGAAGGAAAAGGACAAAAAGAAGCTAAAGAATAAGGAACCTATTCGGAAAATCAAGAATCCGAAGCAAGTAAAACGATTCGGACCGAGGGTTCCAAGAGAATGAAGAACAATTTACGGATGGGCTATGATCAAAAGCCCATCTGTTCTACTCGTTCTCTTCTTAATAAGAGAAGAAAAATGATTTGGTGGGTTTTAAATTATTGCTTGAAATTATTATATTATTAATATGAATGCTTGTCTAACATTGTGTGACATTTCTCTTTTTTCACTGATAGCCTTCAAATATTCTTTTTTTTTTTTGTTCAAAAAAATTCTCGTTTAATAAACGATGGCCTGGTGGTTATAGAAAAATCTCCGGATTTTGCTCCCTAAATAAATTCCTCTCCTTTATAGTTTTAATATTCTTAATGCTTAAATTTTGATAGTTTCAAGTTAATGATTATACTATTTGTTTATAATAAATACTTTTAGTTAAATTTACAATAGGTTTTCTTAAACTCCATAAAATAAAATAAAAATTATATTAAAGTTAATTTATTACCAATAAAGAAATTACATATTTTATATTGTTCGATCCCATCATTTTTAAATGGCCTACTTCAAATTAATATTCCTTTTAATTTCACAGAGAAAACTGCATCAAAGTTTGTTCTTTTCATTTTCGTTGGCTTTATCACTTTTTCCGTTAAATCAAAAGGCATCAATATACGGTATCTATTGAAACATCAA